TTCCTTTGCACTCGCCTCATTGTGGTTATGTTGTTCATTTTCAATAGTCTTGCTAGTATTTGCATTCCTGTTTGGGCTCCCCTCACATCCTGGTTGGTTTTCATTGTTGTTTATTTTTAGGTATATGAAATATTACTATGGCTCTAAGTCAAAGCTATCCAAAAATACATAATCACAGAGGTTTCATTCCCTCGTCAACCCAACTGCTCTTCCCCTGCTCTGCACCTCTTTCTATCCCACCCCTGTAGAGAACCAGTCTTTTCCATTCTAGTTTCTCTCTCCTGAATGCTCTTTGGCACATATAAGCAAATTATAAAAATAAAGATACTTATTAAAACAAAATTTCCTGACAAAATCAAAGCTCCTCATGGAGCTTACATTCTGTAATTCCCTCTACATGCAAGACACTATACAAAGAACTTAAAGGACAAGAGATACATAGAAGATATAAATAGGCCATACCTTAGAGGTTTACATTCTTGATAATAGATAATATGTACACATGTTCTTGATGGGAGGTAATGTGTACATTCATGAAAAATACAATGTGATTTATACTAAGTTCCAAATGACAAGCACTAATTTCTTTCTTCTTTCTCTTTTTTTCCAACTTATATTTTAAGTTCAAGGATACATGTGCAGGATTTACAGGTTTATTATAGTTTAACATGTGCCATGGTGGTTTGCTGCACAGATCATCTCATCACCTAGGTATTAAGCCCATCACCCATGGGCTATCCTTCTTGATGTTCTTTCTTTTCCAAACCCCTACCCTCTGACATGCCCCAGTGTGTGGTTCCCCCCCGCCAAGTGCCCATGTGTTCTCATCATTCAGCTCCACTTATAAGTCAGAACATGCAGTATTTGGTTTTCTCTTCCTGTGTTAGTTTGCTGAGGATAATGGCTTCCAGCTCCATCCCTGCAAAGGACATGATCTCATTCTTTTTTATGGCTGCATGGTATTCCATGATGTATATATATGTACCACATTTTCTTTATCCAGTCTATCATTGATGGACATTTAGGTTGGTTCCAACCAACTACTGTGAATAGTGCTGTATGTGTACATGTGTCTTTATAATAGAATGATGTATATTCCTTTTGGTATACACCCAGTAATGGGATTTCTGGGTCAAATTGTATTTCTGCCTCTAGGTCTTCAAGGACCACATTGTCTTCCACAACAGTTGAGCTAATTTACACTCCCACCAACAGTGCAAAAGCATTCCTTTTTCTCCACAACCTCGCCAGCATGCTCATGGATAAGAAGAATCAACACAATGAAAATGGTCGTACTCCCCAAAGCAATTTATACATTCAATGCTATTTTCATTAAACTAACACTGACATTCTTCACGTAATTAGAAAAAGCTATTTTAAAATTCATATGGAACCGAAAAAGAGCCCAAATAGCCAAGACAATATGCAGCAAAAAAAAAAAAAACAAAAAACAAAAAAAAAACAAAGCTGGAGGCATCACGTTATCTGACTTCAAACTATACTACAAGGCTACAGTAATCAAAACGGTTTGGTGCTGGTACAAGAATAGACACATAGACCAATGGAGCAGAATAAAGAACCCAGAAACAAGACCACACACCTACAATTATCTGATCTTCAATAAACCTGACAGAAACAAGTAATGAGGAAAAGATTCGCTATTTAATAAATGGCACCGGGAGAACTGGCTAGCCATATGCAGAAAAATGAAAGCAGATCCCTTCCTTACACTATATACAAAAATCATCTCAAGATGGGATAAAGACTTAAATGTAAAACCCAAAACTATAAAAACCCTAGAACAAAATCTAGGCAACACCATTCAGGACATAGGCATGGGCAAAGATTTCATGATGAAGATGCCAAAAGCAATAGCAAAATTTGACAAATGGGATCTAATTAAACTAAAGAACTTCTGCATAGCAAAAGAAACTATCATCAGAGTGAACAGAAAATCTACACAATGGGAGAAAAATTTTGAAATATATCCATCTGACAAAGGTCATCTAGCATCTACAAAGAACTTAAATTTACAAGAAGAAAAGAAACAACCCCATTAAAAAGTAGGCAAAGGACATGAACAGACACTTTCCAAAAGAAGACATACATATGACCAACAAACATATCAGAAAAAGCCCAGCACCACTGATCATTAGAGAAATGCAAATCAAAGCCACAATGAGATACCGTCTCACCCCAGTCTTCTTTCTCTTAAACACTTGTGGAGCACCTACTATGTGGCACTATTCCAGTGTCTAGGGATACAGCATCAAAGAAGAAAAAACTCTGTTTTCAAGGAGCTTACAGTTTTGTGGCAAGAGAAAGACCATCAATCAATCAAAAAATTAAAAGTCAAAACTATCAGATAAAGATAACTGCTTTGCAGGAAAATAAGCAGGACAGAGGGATAGAGTTGTTTGGATAAAAATACAGTTGTGAAGTCTCAGGAAGTTCTTTTGGAAAAGCAAACACCTGAAAAATGTAAAGTCTGAGCCATCTGGGTGAAAGCACCAGGCAGAGGGAGCAGTCTGGAAGAATTTGGAAGAAAAGAAAATCACTTACAGATTTGTTTCCAAGGAAACTTCACACAGAAGGTGGGGTTTGGCTAGGCTTAGAAATATGGCAGGACTCTGGGACATGGAGAGAACAGGAAGGGAATTTTAGATGAGCAGTAATAGAGCAGAGGCAGGGAGGGTCAATAAGTCAACCCATCCATCTGTGAAAGAGTTTGGATAAGGACAGTAAAGCAGCTGGAGATGGTTATGAGGGTTTTGAGTGCTGGACCACAGTAGTCCTTTCTCCAAAGGCATTGGGGAAAGCATTAAAGGAGACTAAAAGCAGAATACACAGACGTATATATAGTTTGAGCCCACACCCTTTTATTTTCAGAAGAAAATCATACATATATTCACACAGATATGTAAGGCCACAAGGAATACATCCAATGGTAACACCCATAATTTCTGGATGATGAAATGGTGAGTGATTTTTATTTTTCTTTATGCTTGTTGTTGTGGTGGTTGTTATTGTTGAGACAGAGTCTCGCTCTGTTGACAGGCTGGAATGCAGTGGCGCGACCTTGGCTCACTGCAACTTCTGCCTCCCAAGTTCAAGTGATTCTCCTGCCTCAGACTTATAAGTAGCTGGGACTACAGGCACGTGCCACCACTCCCAGCTAGTATTTGTATTTTTAGTAGAGATGGGGTTTCCCCATGTTGGCCAGGATGGTCTCAATCTCCTGACCTCATGATCCTCCTGCCTCGGCCTCCCAAAGTGCTGAGATTACAGGCATGAGCCACCGTGCCTGGCCTCTTCATGCTTTTCTACATTTTCCAAATTTTCTATAAATTATCATTGTTACTTTTATAAACAGAAAAAAAAGTGAAAGAATAAGCATTGTTATCATCAGAAAGGAAAGATTTAACATGGGAATGGCCCAAGGGAGTGTTTGAAAAAAATTAAGTGAACAGTGGATGCAGATGGACAAGAAAAAGAAGGAGGAGTTTACTCAGTAACCTTTGAGCCACAGAATACAAACTCCTTTCTCTTGTAAGGTCAGCCCCAGTTCTGTATTTGAGAGTAAGCAATAGAGACAGCTGTGTGTATGGGTGACATTTCTCTACATTTTGCTCAGCTACTGGCAGCAGCCCTACTTTCTCTCTCCCCAAGCAGAGAGAGGGAAACTGCTAAATTGCAAAAAGAAGAAAATCCAAAATCCAAGATGCATTAAGATACAGTTTGTATGTTTATTCTTTCTACATATTTGGATGTCACAGCTCAAATTCCAACCTAAAAATAACAAGACAATGAGCATTTCTTTGCAAAGTGAGATACAAGCTCCCCTTTGTGAAATTACTCCTCTGGGAATGTCCACAGAAGCTACCATCTTGTTTCACATAATCCCAGGAAATGAGATAGCATGAGAGATGTCTTTCAAGGGATCTGTCCAGGAATGAAGGGCACCGAATGAACAAGTCTTTGTTTCCAAATCTAAATTAGCAGTGCCCAAAACTCACCTTCTGTTATGGACTGAATTGTGTCTTCTGGTCCCACCCCCCAAATTTATTTGTTAAAGCTCTAACCCCCAATGTCATGGAATACGGAGATGAGGCTCTTGAGAGATAATTAGATTTAGATGAGGTCACCAGGGTGGCGCCCTCCTGATGGAATTATGCCCTTCTAAGAAGAGAAACCAAAGCGCTTACCCCCTCTCTGCTATTAAAGACACAGATAGAAGGCAGAAGTCTTTAAGCCTGGAAGAGAGCCATTACCAGAAATCAACAACGCTGGCACCCTTATCCCAGACTTCCAGACTCCAGAGCTGTGGGAAATAAATGTCTGTTGTTTAAGCTACCTCAGTCTATGGTGTTTTGTTATGGCAGCCCAATCTGACAGAGACAATTTCCCTCCCTCTGAGTTCCTCCTGGACCCACTATCTGTACCATTACTTTCACTGCATCCTAGTCTGTCTTACAGTCTTATGTGTTTTAGGGGTAGATATAGAGTGTCTGCTATGTTAGTGTTTTGAAATCAGAACTATGTCCTTAAGTTCTACTACCTTCTGTATTGGCCCCCAAAGTATTATACATACATTCATCACTCAGTCTAAAACTATGTATCGAGTAACTACCATATACCAACCATGTTGATAAACTCTGAGGAATAGAGAGATGACAAGAAGTTTTTAAGCTCAGAGTTAAGCAGCAGAGCAGACAAAACAGGTACATACATAAACAAACCTAACAAATGCAATAAGCGCAATTCTAGTGGCAAGTGAAATGCATGGGCACACAAAGGAAGGAGTGACTCTTTTACCTGGTATCAACTAAAGGGAAAAAAAATGAGACTATTTTTCCTCTTTTTTTTTTTTTTTTTTGTAGAGGTGGGGTCTCGCAATATTGTCCAGGCTGGTCTCAAACTCCTGGCCTCAAGTGATTCTCTCACCTCAGTCTCCCAAAGTGCTGCAATTACAGGTATGGGCCACCATGCATGGCTAAAAAATCAGGCTTTTAAAGATTTAAAGTTAATTTTATTTAAAAGTCCTGCAAAGGACTATAGACTGAGGCCTATAGCCCAGAAGCAGCCCTTTAGAGAGGTTCTATCAGAGGTTCTATCAGATTGCACCAGCCCAGTATTTTAGCGGTGGGCTATACAGATAATGAAGGTTTAGTATGTGTAAAATCACATCAAACTTGTTCAGAAGTTATAGTAAAGAGGAATCACATCAAGGGTATATAAGATTATATCTGGTTATAGATATAAATATTTGGGTGTAAGAGTATATCGTTATAGATTATAGAGGCATAATCACTAACCTTGTCAGACATTATCTTATGTGTAGGAAAAGGCAAGAACTAGGGCCATTTATCTTTTAAGAAATATAGTAACTCAGGCAAGAGATGTGGGGCACTGTGTCCTCTATCCTGTTTGCTCTACAAAGTATCACTCCAGAGAACTGCATGTGGTCACAGAGTTAGAGCCTTTGTGAAATCATGCCAGCAAGCATAAATGAGCAAATATGTCTTCTTACCTATGCTACTTTGTCTCACACTGAGAAGTGCAGATGACTCCCCAGGTGAGACGGCATTTGATTGAGAGCTTAAAACAAGAGTTCCACAGATGAGAAGAAAGAAGCTTTCGCTCCAGGCAGGAGAAACAGTGTGAGGGTGAATACAGAATGGTCTGGTGTAGTGTATGGGAGTGGGGAATGGGGGTGGTTAGAAATGAGGAGAGATCAGACTAGACAAGTAGGTTAGATGCAAATCATGAAGGCCCCCGATTCCTGAATGAAACCCTAAAGAGCTTCTACCTAATGGTCTAAATCTTAGTTGGCTCTCAGGATTTTTTAAGCAGGGAAATGAGTGATCTAATCTGCAATTTGGAAAAGAATCCCCAGAAAAAGAAAATAACATAACATCAGAAATAGAGACTCTAAAGGAGAATAGTGAAGAGACTGTTGTAATGGTCTAGACAAGAGGAATAAGCAGAGGGACAGAGAGAATGGAGAGGAGGGCAGCATCATGGAGCCAGCTGAGTGTGGAAACCATGTCTGAAATTCAAGCAATTACCACTGTTACATGATTTTCCTCTAACACGTTCTGTAGCCCTGAGCAAGAAAGCATAACAAACCAGCCAACGAATGGCAGGTTTTTCCTGAGTGCAGGATGAGAAAGGTGCCACTGGAAATCACCAGGTTATTGGAACTAAGAACACTGGTGAGCGTGTTGGGTGGGTCATTTTTCAAAAATCCAGATGGGAAGAAAGAAAGAATCTAAAGGAATAGCAAGGACTCACAAGAACAGATGTCCAATGAGGCTAAAGAATGGGTTGCAAAAAGAAAAAGAAAGCAGAAAAAGGATTTCAAAATTCATGATTTCAAAGATTGAGTCATTTTATATGTGACAAGTCTCCAGGTATTAAATTAAATTAATCCATTAATGTAAAAAAAAACCCAGAAAGTTCTTAGATGAAATAATTTTAAGGAACTGAGAGATTCAGTTGTTAAATAGGTCATCAAAAAGGACACTGAAGTCAACCAGGGTAATGACATGGGCTGGAGAGAAGTGGCAGACTGCAGGAAAAGCACTGCAATCCTCAGAGAATGGATGGCAAGGTTGGGAGGCATACAGATGAAGTTCTGTATGAGTAAAGGAATTCAAATTTAAACAGTTTCAGAACTGCCAGGAAAGCTGCAGAACAAAGGTCTGAAAACATAAGAGAAGGTAGGAAAATGCAAGTCCTTCCTCCTGACCCTAGAAAATCTCTGGTGCCAAGGCTAGGACTCTGTTGCCAACTTCAGGCCTGGGAAAACCAAGACTCCAGGAGCCTCTACCTCTAGGATTCTTCCAAACATCTCACCATGTCCTCTGATAACTTTGTAGTCATCTGCCACATCCTACTTCTGAATAAATCCTACATTCCACCTTTCCGTGCCTATAGCCAAGAAGCCAAATGTTAATGGAGAAAACCACAAAGGTAGTTAACTGGTCAGTACTGCCAAAAACAAACAAAAAACCAGGCAAACAAAAACCAACCACGTATCTTTAGTAGACTCACATTGCCCTTCACTACACAATATTTTATATCTCGCTCACTCTCTTCAAATTTGTCATAGCCCAATTTGACAGTCACTCACAGCTCATGACCTTGCTTATACTCTAAGGAAAAAGAAGACATCACATCTGAACACTCACATCTGCCAACCCCGAAACTACTAACTTAATAACACGTGTACTCATCCTCTTTCTCCCATTGCAATGGGGGAAGTATCCCCACTTCTGTTAAAGGGCAATTGCACACATCCCTCAAAAACTTGGCTTCTTCCATTTCCCCCATCATTAACTTTCCCTAATCTATATTAGTACATGCATCACTCATTTGTAAAAAGAATATGTAGCACACACACCCACACATAAACACACACACACACACATTCCCATATCCATTGCCATCCAGCGACACATTTCTCCACTTCATAGTCAAATTTTGGGGAGAAAAAAACTGTCTCCTGATGCTTTCTCTACTTCATCTCCCATGCACTCTCCAAGCCATCAGGCACCAACCCCTGTCCCAGGCCCACTGAAACCCCCTTTGTCAAGGTCATCAGAGATCTTCATGTCATGAAGCCAATGGAAACTTCTCTCTAGGCTGAAATGTTATATGACTTGATCATTTCGCAACAATGCATAAACCATCTGTATACTGATGAGTCCTGCATTTATATCCCCGGCTTAGATCATTTCTTTGAACTCTAGAATTTCCCTTTTATTGCCTCATTGATACCTTGCCTCCCAGATGTCTCACGGACTTCTAAAAAAGTCCCCCAAACTGCCCTTCCCCTTCCTCTATCTTCCTCTCCTCAGTAACTAGTACTATTTCCAACTCAATTCAAGTTGGAAACATAGGGAACATTCTGTTTTTCATTTGCTTCACTCCTGCCATCCAGTCTCCTCAATTTATAATATGAATGTATCTGAAGTCTGTGTTCTCTGCTCACCTCTACTGCAACTCCCTTACTACAGCCTGTCATCTCCGTCCAAGGCAACAACAGCATTTTCCTCACTTGTATCCTTTGCTTCCTCTCTTACCTGTCTCATTCTTCACTTGCCTGCCAGGATGAACACATAAGTCTCTCTCTGAATTCTTCCATGGATTCCTATTCCAAATGCACGATTCTGTCTCTCCTCTTCTCTCTGACTTACATCTCAAAACCACTTTCTCCACACTCGCCAAGCTCCAGCCACAACAGTGGTCATGCAGTTTCTAGAAGAGACCCACACTACCTCTCACCTCCGGACTCTTACATATTTTATTTCTTTCTGGAATGCTCTTTCCTCCCTCTTTAAACGGACAAACTCTTTCTCATGCCTCATGTCTCAGCTGAAATTTTATTTTTAAAAGTACTTCTGCAATCACCCTAAAATTTGTTTGTCTTAGCTTCTTGTTTGTTTCCTTACATACTTTTATTATGACTTTAAGTTATTGTATTTGCTTTTTTATCTGAATTTCACTCATTAGAACATACATAAGCTGCCTGGGAAGGAGCTGTTAGAGTTGTATCTTTAGCATAGTGGATAACATATTACAGTTTCTCAACATTTTTTAATGATATTCATCTTCAATTTTATGATATTGAGAAACATATACAGCCAACTTTCAGTTAAGACAAGGATGTAAAGGGAAGAGGAAGAACAATGGAAGCAAGTGAAGATAATACACAAAAATTAATGACCCCTTACTACATATTGGGTGCTATCTCTTGACCAGATAGTAGAGATGCAGATGAGAGCAAAATGAGATTTAGAATGGGGTCAGGGAAAGGGAAGAAATGAACAGGAGTTTGTAGCTTCAATTGTCATGCTAATCACAGGGATAGTTGCCAGGGAAGGAGGAAAACTGATGAATGAGCAAGAGATTGACTGACATGACTAGCAGCCTCAGAATTTCATCTAGAACTTTACCGTTGAATCATGAGAGTTTCCCTCCAGTCATCAGGGAAGGAACAGTGGCTGGATGAGCAGTCATGTGTACAGACCACATTCAGATACACTTGGTTGGGGTGGGAGAGGCATACCTGGCTAGGCACACAAAAAGCAGGAGGAATTGATAGACCAAAAGCAAAGACATTTAAACCCCAGCCCAAAGTAACTGCTCAATAAATATTTGTGTAGCCCTTAGCACAATGAATGTCCTTAGTAATTCTGAGAAAATATTTCTAATACTGCAGTTGACATTTCAAAATTAAAGTTGCATGATTCTAGGAAGCCACATAAACTCACCTTTTAAAAAATCAGCAACCAAAATTTTTGCTTTGAACGATTAAATACTTTGTTTTCCATTTTTTTGTGCTGACAATATTTCATCAAGCTACAACTTACATACAGTCATATGCACATCCTTGGTGTACGGCTCCATGAGTGCTAACATATGAATACACTGCCCAGCTCAAGAGGACAAAGCAATAATAATACCTCCATTGGCTTCAAGCTGAGAAACAAAAAATCCTTGTGCTAGATAATGCCCGTTATCAGTGCCACCCTCCACCCTCAGTTTAAGGGAGCCAAGGTAATTTTGGTATGGTTGAGTTAATGGCTAGAATAGAAAAACCATTTCTACTAAAGTTATGTTTACAATGTCAAAAACCCAAGGGATATATATTGCTTCATTCTTTGCCAGAAGAAGTGCCAGCTATGATAGCTCTATATTTAGAGGAAAATAAGAAAAACATTATTATGCTTTGGAGAGTAACTTGTGCCCTTGCTTCTCTGAAAGGTATTTTCCTTGGATAGTCTGTTCCTGAAAACCACTAATAACCCAATTCTCCCTATATGCTTTACTCCTGTGTCTCCCAGGGGAACACACATACAGTCCCGTCAGGTGTGAAATCAGAGGGACTAGAGCCTCAAAAAATCTGTTCTTACACTGCTTTTGCTTTTGTGTCTCTAACTCTCGTGGGGTGGTCTGTGGTTTCCATGGCAATGATACCTGGCAACAATTCTGGGCAGCCTTCCAGGAGTTGTGTTTGGAAGTGATGGGGCTAAAATGCGTCTGTCAGAGGTAATAAAGAGTTCCCTGTGTGAACATTTCTGTCTGACTGCTCCACTCAGACACCTGCGCAGATTCAGAAGGTAATGAGCATGGAGCAGGGTGGGAATCTGGGGTGGGGTGAGCCTATCGTACGGACGGTCTCTAGCACATGTCATGATGGGGCCACGATCCCCACCCAAATGGGTGGCTTTGACCAAATAATAAGTTAAAAGCTGACTCTGTGTCTGACCTCTGAAGTCTTTACTAAAGACTACATTGATTCTCAGATTCACCTTTAAAAGTTGAAGTTCTCATATTTTTACTCTCTGTTATCTCCAGTAAGTTCCTTTTGCTGAATTTCCCATTTCTGTTAATACTATCACCATATTCCTCAGCAAGCAAAGCTTCAGGTCAAGGCTTCAATCCATTCTTCAAATTGAATCAAAAAAATCCTCTTAGTTTTTCATTCTCATTTTTTTCTTACATCTATCCTTTTATATCCATTCATTCATTCATGTATCCATTCATTCAAAACACACTTATGAGCCTCTGCTATCGACTAAGGATGCAACAAAGAACAGAATGGAAAAAAAGTTCAGTATCTTTGGATGGGCTTAGAGCACAGAACCAGGTGAGAGGCTATGACTCCCTATTGTGACAACTTGAGTCAGATTTCTATCCACTAGACTAGGAATTTTTGCAGTTATAAAGATCAAGTAATACTCTGGCAGGCTGCCAATCTCTTTCATTTATATGGACAGGTGATTGACTAGCCACCACCAAAGACCTTGTAGATCTAAGTATCCTGAGTATCAATATATCCCTGTTGCTATTAACTACTTTTACCTTGATGATACCTTTTTTCTGGCAATTAAATGCTAGTGCTTTTGCTCTGCCACTGCAGGATCCCTTCATCCTCATCACAACGGCAACATCTCCCACTATCACCCCAGCCTAGAGAGGCAGCCACTGCTGAGTTTTTATAGTATGCTGGTGCTCCAATTGCTACTTTATTTATGATTTCATGAAATGAGGGTCTCGTGGGGTCATCAGGGGATATCTGCTACAGAAGAGACTCTCAATATTCAGATACCCCGGTGACATGTTCTGTGGCAGGAAGTCACCTTCCCCAGCCATCTCATGGTCCAGAGTGGCAGGCACAGAGTGTGTGGAGGAACTTACCAGCAGGGAGTAACACTTTCCAAGACTGAACTGGCAATTGCTACTGCTGAGTGTCTAACTTGCCAAGAGCAGAGTCCAAAAAGGGAGCATTCATATCTTATCATTTTTCCAGGAAACCAGAGAACCACCTGGTAGCTGATTACTCATATTGAAACTCTTCATCATAAGGGGCAGCCACGTGTGCTCATTATAAAGTATATGTATTAGAGTACATATATCTCTTTCCTGTTATGTTTCCGCTATCTCATTATCCTTGGACTTATGTTACATCTTATTCATCATTATGGCATCCCAGACAATATTTGCTTCTAAACAAGGAATTTATTCCATGGCAAAAGAAGTATAGCAATGAGCCCATGTGCCACATCTCCCAGAAGCAGCTACTGTGATCAAATGGTAGAATGGCCAGTTAAAGGTCAGTTGGAAGAGAAAACCCTGAAAGGTTGGGGTTATATCCAATAGGGTGAAATACATGCTTTGAACCAGTGATCAATGCATGGTGCAATTTATACTACAGTCAGAATCAAGGGGTAGAACTTGGGGATGGATTCTCCTACAGCTACACTAGCAATCCACTGAGATAATGTTCGTTACCTGTCTCTACACCTTTGCGCTCTGTTGATTTAGGAATCTTCGTTCACAAAGAGAAAGTATTCCACTCAAGCTTAGATGACCATTTGAAGCTTTTAATGCTACTAAACCAAAAGGCCAAAAAGGAATTTTTAAAAATGGGTTCTGCCACTCAAGAAGACAGAGAAGACTAGTTACAGAGCCTGTGGTCTTCTAAGGGTGTCTCTTAGTACTCCTCAGTGCAACATTTTGGAAAACCATATCAACTCGATAAATGCAAGACCTCTGGAAATTCAGGCCCCTTCAAAAATGAGGGCTTTCAGATAAGAAGTCTCGACCGGGTGCAGTGGCTCACACCTGTAATCCTAGCACTTTGGAAAGCTGAGGTAGAGGACAGCTTGAGCCCTGGAGTTTGAGATCACCCTGGGAAACACAGGGAGACTCCATCTCTAAAAAACAGAATTTAAAAGAAGCTATCAGCTGGATGTAGTGTGTGCACCTGGGCAACAGAGCAAAAGCCTGTACCTTAAAAAACAAGAGAGAGAGAGACTCTACAAGCTGAATTGCTAGCTTACAATGAATGCAACATCAAATAGACAAATAGACAGTGGAAGAGGAATTGATATGACCTCATGACCTCATCACAAGGAAGTGATGACCTCATGAATAGTTACAGAAATGTGACTGTTATGAATGTCTACCTTTGCTTAATTTGTGTTTGTGTGTATATATATATATATAGCTTATGTTAATTCATGTTTCTTCCCCTTCCTTCTTTCTCCTATTATTTTACTTAAGCTACTGTTAGTGATTAAGTTTATAACTTCATCTTTAGTTTACAGAGTATTCAGATAGATATGCAGATATGCATATGATTGTTACAGGAAATTTCTTTGGGGTAGAAGGCAATACAGTCTTCATTTGTATGAAGGATAATTGCATTTTATTAGGCAGAGCACAGAGCTCTTACAATTGGTTAGAACGATGGGGACTGATGCTGACTAACCAAGAGGATAGATAAGACCAGTTATTTGCCTACTTTCTCTGAGCTCCAAGTCCTGCTATACTCTGCAATGTTGGGCCTAGACTAGCTTGCCAGCTGGCCCTCTATTAGGTTCTGCTAATGAGAGGCACCAGAGGGGTTGGAAGGTGGGAAGAGGAGAGAAGGGACGTCCCTTGTGTTTCTAGTCCCTTCTGGCAATGCTCCAGCAGCCACAGATGCTTGACTCAGCCTCCGGCTTCTTCGGTACTCCCAGTGCCAGCTTTTCCATGCCCCTGCAGAGGCACCTGCATGCATGAGGCCCAGCACTTTTGGTAGTTCAGTGCTAGCCATGCCATCCTTCCTTGCCCACAGAACCAGGCCCCTCCATGGTCTGTATTCACCAGTTCATTCATCCATTCATTCTTCTACCCATTAAATATTTCTTGAATTCTTGTTGGGCACTCCACTAGACTTTGAGATAAAAAGGTGAACAGGCATGGTTTGTCCCAGCCAGCAAAGAATTTCATTTAGGGCCTAGGGGAGGAAGCAGGTCATCCAACCAGCAGTAGCCACAGAGTGTCACGGTGGCAGAGGAGCACTGACCTCAGTCAGGGTTGAGTCAGGCTCAGAAACAATTCCAGAAGCAGTGGCATCTGCACACACAATGCATGAAGGGAGGAGATGCTCCAGGCAGAGAGAACATGGTTAAAGAAAAATATGTTTGAGCCAAGGTGGCAGGTTTACTCCTCCAATTGGGATGGAAGCTCAGACTGCAGAGCATATGATGAGGAGAAAAAGGCAGGTGAGAAAGTGGAAGCGGGGAGGACAGCCGAATGAGAGCCTGGTGGCTCCTGTAAGCCACAGCGCCTTTCTCTTTCCTGTCTCCTCTCTTGTTCCATTCAGTGATCAGTGTTGGGCACACATTGCTCCTCTGACCTGTGGAAAGGAATGGAGTATGGAGAGTGTCAACTCCGTAGCCTCAATCCAAAAGCCCCAATACCAACTGCTTCCCAGTCAATCAGCTTACCTCCAAGTTGCATGCTTTCTTGCAGATTTGGCTCTGCACTCCAATTTCCTTCTAGATCTTTCCCTCCTTTGTCTGATCTGGGCTCTTTTCATCTCAGTCTCCCCACCTTCTTAATGAACAGCAATTTTGTCCTCTAAGCTTTTTCAAACCCATCTCATTAGCCCCATCAAATTTACCCATGCAGTTACCAGGGCCCACCCTCCTTAGTGGGCACCAGATTACATGCAGCAGAATCTTTTCTTGTCATGGGATGAATACAGTGAATAACATGAGTAGGTGTCAGAAGTGTGAGTGAAAGAGCTGCCCCTGCTTTCTAGGGCCACAGTGAGGTTGGAGGTGGGAGGAAATGCTCTTGATGACCTGGCCTGTATTCTCAGTGCCAGGAGGAGTGTGTACCCATCCAATCATTATTTAGTAAAAATATTTTTGTAAATAAAATATAGCCTAAGTACCTTGAATAATTTTAAATTCATATCAGATGCAGCTTTTGAAGTTATAAGATTCTTTGACTTATGTGAACAATGTAACCCATGTGTAATTAAAAATTTTAATGGAATTTTATCTCCCACTGATTGCCATGTTTATGCTCTCTGAATATTCCCACACAAACTACACTCTGGCACCAATATCTGAGCACTGTCATAGCATCAAAATGTGTAGCCATCATTCTATTACCTCAAATCCAGAACACATGCAGAACTACACAACTATCCTGTCAATGTTATAAAGAGAATCACCAAAGTAAAATGCAAAATTATGTGTGTACAAAAAAACATATGTTCTCACATGATCTCACATTTAGTTTCCCTCTCTCCACACACTCTATATTATCATGTAATGGGATAATGAGTGTATTTTTGAATTTTCCAAATTTTCTACAATGCAACTGTATGCTTTTTATAGTTATGTGTTAGAGCTTTTACATGAGTTATTCAGATTCCTGGGAATATCTGGCAAACCAATGGAGTCAGCCTTTCTGATGTGTATTTGCACAAAAAATTGAGAAGACTTCTTAGAGCCAAGAATGATAGTTTTGACCCAGTACACAAGCCTTGGTTATCAGAAAGCAGGCATGGTCCTGATCACATTCTGAAGTGGGTCTCTTGGGTATGTCTGCAATTTTGGTTTCATTTCTACATTCTCCGGAAAAAGAGAGCTAAGGTAAAAACTAACATTTCTGTACGACTAAACATTCTTTATAACATCAGGGCTCAGGTATAACACAAAACAAACATTCTTCTCCTATTCACGACAGAACTTCTTTGGCACCTGGAAGAATCTGGTGGGAGACGGTGGTGCCCAGCAAAGGGATGCTGTTTCTAAAAGTCCCAAAAATGCTTACCTGCAAAGAGAAATGATTCTCTGCATAAGCAGCAGTATTGCATCATGGTTCTTGCAGAAGAGACAAGAGTGCCCACTGGGCAGAAAGAGGTGCCAGTTGGACCCAGAAGTGGCATCCAAAAAAAAGGTCAGGCACAAGGCTAAGCCTGGCAGACATGGTAAACCTGAGGGAGGAAGACAGTGACAGAGGAAGACGAATAAAACCCCCAAGCCACCTGGCAATATGTGAGACACTGTGGGGATGCCCAGGATAAAACCAAAAGAATTTTGAAGCTGGAGCAAGAGTTAGAGGTGAGAAAAATACATCTCAGGGTGTCTCACACAGGGTAGTTAATCAAGTTTTTCGGTTTAGAAGGGCGGGTTTAAATGCCAGGAGAGGGGTAGTAGAACAGAACAGAACAGAACAGAATAGAATAGAATAGAATAGAATAGAATAGAATAGAATAGAATAGAATAGAATAGAATGACTCAGTTATGAAGGTATTCTCTCCATAGCGTTACGATGTGTCTTGAGTAAATTTCTTTCTGCTGGTCCTTGCTCTGTCCTCTATAGCAAGTGACTCACTTGTCACTCTATAGCAGTGACTTATTGAACTATATTTTATGGATTCCTGGGATTCAATCTGAGGTGCCTCAGAGACAAAGTGGGGATTTGGGGAAGGGGCTCTGGTGTGGTTCCATCAGTGATTGTGCTTGGGGGAAAAAAAGGCTTTCTCAACTTAAAACAAAGTCACTGCTCTACAGCAATATCATATAAGACAACTCATCCTTCAAAAGAATAACCCTTCAAATATTTGGAGACAGCTGTCACATCTCTGCTTATTCATTTCTCCTGAGGCTAAACACATCAGACACCTGTTCCTCAGCTAAGGCACTCCAGGTCCTTCATCCTCCTGGCTGCTTTCTCACACTGCCCTCTGCTTAGTCCCTGTCCTTTTGAATATGTGTGTGGCTAGATAGAAATTCATGGATTTTGACCCAGACATGCTTTTTTTAAAATCGTTATTATCATGATCATGTGAGAAAAATTAAACTTTCCAGATAAATTAAACTTCCAATTTAAAGTACACATTGTTCTGCTACAACACCTGTTTCTATAACACCAAACTCACTCACACACAATTGATCAACAGAAAGATGATGTCAGTATAATGCAGAAGTTGCTTTGGTTTACATGTGGTTTTCACTAGGAAGGGAAAGGGAATTAGCAGGAACAGCATCATATCCATCAGCAGGAAAGGACAATGCCTCAGTTTGACACTTGTACAGACAGGAGCCTTTTAATCTGCATTTTAAGAAAATCAAAAAGGGGCACCTATTAAAGAATTGTGGGTTTTTTTAAATAAGCATCTTCCTGGCGGGGAACAGTGGCTTATGCCTGTGATCACAGCACTTTGGGAGGCCAAGGTGGGCAGATCACTTGTGGTCAGGAGTTCAAGACCAGCCTGGTCAACATGATGAAACTCCATCTCTCCTAAAAATACAAAAAATTAGCCAGGCATGGTGGCATGGACCTGTAATCCCAGCTACTCAGTAGGCTGAGGCATGAGAATTGCTTGAACCTGGGAGGCAGAGGCTGCAGTGAGCCACGATGGCACCACTGCACCCCAGCCTAGGCGACAGAGCACGACTCTGTCTCTAAATAAATACATAAATAAATAAATAAATAAACCAGCATCTTCCCCAAGCTCAGAACTCCCCTTCCACCTGTCTTGTCTCAGAACAGCAACCCCATGTGTTTGCACTCCTGTTTCTCAGACGTGTGATGCCCTGAAGCAACCCAAAGCCACTGATTTGCCTGCCCGCCCACCAGTCCATGTTATCCCTGAGATCCACATGATTGCTTGGTTAGTGCTCTCATTGCCCAGTCACATCTATTTTTGAATAGTTTGCCCCTAAACTTATTTTGCTACAAAGCTTGCTACTCTTCCTGAGCAGTTTTACAGATTGCAAAGTTTTTTGCATGGAGTTATAACAGAAAGGCCTATAGTCTCCTTCAGGCCAATATTCAATCAGTTCGAAATTCAAACTCTTCATAAGAGTGTTTCTCCACTCTCAACCCCCTTCCCCCACACTTCTCAAAACGGTTTGTAAATTCAGAGGCAGCTTATGTATCCCAATGGCAGTGGGAATGCAAAAATGGCAGTGGGAATGCAAAAGGGCCTCTGAATGGCAGTGGGAATGCAAAAGGGCCTCTGAATGGCAGTGGGAATGCAAAAGGGCCTCTGGGTCATCCCTGTCCTCTCTTGAGATGTCCCCGTCCATCTAATCTCAGGTCCTCTGGGCTGGTATTGGGGTGCCCCCATCCTCCCTGACATCTCTAGACATTGTGCAATGACCTACTGCCAAAAAAAAAAAAAAAAAAGAAAGAAAGAAAGAAAGAAAAATTTTTCCCTACAGCTTACAGTTGCAAAGTCCTGGCTGTGTTCTCTCTTCCACCTGAACTCTGAACCTGCCTAATGCATGGGTTTCCCAGCCCTTCTCCACTCCCCCAGGGGAAAAGGCAGGGCTGTCTGTGTACATGATTCAGACTGCAGCAGGAAGAAGGCAAGGGAGAGCACTATTTTAGGCCCATCAATCTAGCCACCTCCCCACCACTGCTGTTCTTCTGCTCTGCACTGTATAAATGAAAGCATGGCAGGAACTTTTGCTCTGTCTTATCCTCCACCTCCCAAGGTTTGGCTTCTCCTATAGCTCTATGTGCAGACTGCCATGCCTGACACTTGATATATAAGGGAAACTTTAGAAAATGGGAAATCCCTCTGTGTCTCAACACAGCCTGGCTTTCAAGATTATTATTTCTTTATAATTTCAAGAAAAATCGAATTTGAGTCTCGAAATCGAAAAATATTTTTCTCACTGTTGTAGGCTGTTATTTTCTCTTTAGCTGAATCAATGATTATCAGTGATTTGGAGCAGAGAAGCTGTGGTTCAAGAGGGAACCTGGGACTGTTGAAAATCAAGATAACTTTGGTTTACCATTTTTAAAAATTTCATCAAGGTTCCATGTGACATCCAGAACTAAACACGTAGGTCTGACCAGCAAAGAGTTCAGTGGGACTAGAACTGGGAATGAGTCAACCTCTACAAAGGAAATTCCTTTTTTATTAGCCTTATCATGGGTTTGAATCACGAAACTGAGTTAAAAGGCTGTTGGAAAAGAGGAGATGGGATCCATCCTTGGTTTCCCAAGGTCACACACCGGCAGTTTCTGCACCAAGGATGCTATTGGGAGAGCCCCATCTGCTCTTTTCATCTCTGGGAGGGTCTGCCTCTGCCCCAGCTGTGGCCCTAGTAATGTCTCTGTTGCTTTTACTTATCTTATTACCTTATGCCTCTAAGATATTTTGCTCGAAGGAGTTCCCTGCAACTGCCAAGCACAGGAAATAAATAGCACCATCTTCCTCAACAGATGGCTGGGCCCCAAGCCTCACCACACTGGACACCTTGGCCAAGGAGGTCCTGCTCCTGTCATTAGGAAAGCTGACTCACACTGCTGAAGTCATCCTGACAGCCTGCACTGCCCCCACAGAGCACCTTCTAGTGCCTGGCCCTCTCCATTCCTACG